TCGCTCAAACTTTATGCAGTGATTATTTGTAGTTATTGAAAGACAAAGAAGTACGAAATTATGAATGAATTAATAGTATTGATTACTGCCACACGCGTCTAGTCGGGGGGTTGGGGGAGGGGGGGAGGACTTGCATCCTGCCCACCGCCGAGACGTTTGTTATCGATTTGCAAACTTACAATCTAATTGAATTCTCTTCGACTAGATTGAAATGAAAAATTAATGGGAAGCGTTGTAGATAATACTTTTTAAAAATTTGATCTTTTATTTCCTTTCGTTAATAAAATGCTAGAGAAATGGGATGAAAAGGTTGGATTAACCATTTGTTTGGAGGCAATATTGAGTCTTCTCTAGAAAATAGTGAGTCCAAATACTAATTTAATTAGTAAAATATTGAGTTGATCGGAAAACTACCACCATGACACCTGTTATTTAATGAATTGATATCTTTACTAAAGTAGGTCACCGAGGGCAATGTCTTAAGGTATTTTTAACGTGACATGCACACATCATCTGAACAATCAGTTGTCTTGGCACTAAGATTGCAATTTTCACATTTTACCCCTAATAGAGCTATTTCCGTTTCGCTTAGAAGTAAATGTTTAATTTTATAATTGATGAGCACTCAATTTATTTTTAAATACTCTTTCCTTGGTAAAATAGCAACCAAACTTGACAATTAATACTTATCACGAAAAATCCTTATCAGAAATGCAAGCGTTTTTAGAAGGGTTTGTAACTATTAACTATTGCTAATTCAATTAACGTTGTATACTCGGATTAATAGAAACTTTCTCTGCTTCGTATGTCAGCTCGGCATCTCCATGTATTGCGCATCCACTGGCGCATACCTCTGCCTAATTGGCATTTATTCGTCAACGCCCAAAATCCCTGAAATCTATGAATCACCCCATCGCTCTGTGGGAGGCGTGGTCTATATATACCTTTACTAAGACATTTCATATTGATGCAGCAAGTAAATGAGTTAGAGCATAAGTCTGTAAAATTTGGTAATCATTGTGAAACATAAGACGTCTAAGTGGTAAGAGGAGGGGATCGTTTCATCTCATATCCACCTCCGCCCACGAATTGCCTTAGGAGCCAATGAATATAACCCCTGATTTAACCAATGACCACACTGAGCTCGGCTTCTCCGTTGGTCCACCTTACGTCCAATAATCTTGCTAGCCTACTTCCAATCCTCTCGGGGATCATAGTACCTTGTTTCACTTGCTTCGCACAACCTGGATTGCCCTGGCTCAGAACGCGGGTGCGTCCTCTTTCCTCCCAATTCCTTATTCATCTTTCTGCCTCCTTTTCCACCCACTTCTGTCCTATTTATCTGTATAAATGTGGACATTTTGCATGCTAGTAGCCTTTATTAAGATTAAAGGTTTGTAGAGGAGAATCCAAAGTGCAGCTGGGTCCCATCCCTAAAGTAGAACAATTAATTGAACAAGTGCTGCTTTAAATTCATTGGCTTATCTCAGTTGACTGTCCTTTGTCTTGTATTAAAATATTTAAAATGTTCAATCAATTAAACTTATAATGCGCTTAATGTTAGAAAGCATCTCCTGTTTGAAAAGCGCGATTTAAAAGAAATACCAAAATGGGTTTAAATGGACTATATTTTGTTTGTTTAGAGCCGTCACGCTCTTTCATTTTAACAGTCTGCTAGTTGCTGTTTCGACTATCCTTGACCGATGCATATTTTTCGCCAGAAATAATTAGCAGTTTACAATTGCTTCGAGTTCAGTCATTTTCACATTCTTTGGTAGTCATCGAGTTTTTTTACCTCATCAGTAGGCCATATAAATAGAGTTTGGCTAGGTTGTTCAAAAGCGTAGAAACAATGATGAAGGCCTCAAATACGTTTATTATGAAAATCAATCAGTTTATCTAAATTAAGATGTGAATAATTTGATTGGTCGTTCAGTTAGGAAATAATTATCTCGAGATTACCTTGTCATGCATTGATCTGGAAACTCACTGATCGATAAATCAGTACTCCAGAATTATCTTAGTTAGCTTGCTAAGAAGAAAGGCTATTTAATATTTTGACATCTTTATTTATTTCAAATGGTGGGCTTTATGATACTTATTATTGGCCCTTAAACTGACTTCGGGCTTCACAAAGGGGAGGAACGTCAAAATGGGAAAAAGTGGAGAGGGGGGACAGAAGAGTAGTTCAAAGATATAAAAAGAGACAGACAGACACAAAGGCAGAGAAAAGGTAGATTAAGCATGGTGGAAGTGATCGGGTAAGACTAACAGTGGGGTCATGGTAGTTTGAAGTCAGAAGTCAAATGCCGAGCAATAGCCTTTTTTGCCGTATGAGAATATGCTGCCCAGGGTGCACCACGTGGAGGTAAGTCTATCACACACTCCTTAACATTTTTACTACAAGGTAGGTAAATTAATATTTTTGACTAAAGGTCTTTTTTCTATTATCTCGATGACAAAGTTTCCCATGGATTAAAATGTGCCTCTTCGCCACATACCGATTTTCTAATTGTGTTGCCATCAAACGTGACACGAGATCTACTTTTTCGGTGCCACGTTGAATCTCGACCAAGCTTTTCTAAGAGAATGATTCACCTTCTAGGTTTCAAAGTGCTAATGCTTCTCTAAAAGACATTGAGCTGATTAATTAGTAGATGAGAAGGGAATTAAACAAGTGACCTTGCCACGTCCCTTCCATGCAATGGCTATATGGCATTTGTTATGAAATAATGAACAGTTATATATAGTGCATCGAATTCTAGGCAAAAGTTAAGGAATTCGGAAATTATTGATTTCACCTACTGCGCACATGCAATCATCGTGATTTACGGAAAAGTACATTTTGAGTTCGAAATATTTATTAGGCATCCTGTGAGTACGAATGTACCAAGTTAAATTCACTCGACCAATACAAACTTGTACATGATCTAGCTTATTTAGTATTTCACTGCATTTCAGATTGAGTTTTTATTGCTACTGATTTATTAATCTATTCTATATTCTTATTAAAATGGTTACTGTCGTGTCTATTCCTGAATTTTCATTTGTATAGCTGATTTCCATATTCTTTTGCTAGACGATATGTTCCTGATAATAAACAACTTGAATAATTTCGATATCTGAGTAGAAATTATAACAATTTTGGGGACGAAATTCATTGTCAAAAGTCTTGCATATTCCATATATATATACATAATATTGAGTTATATAGAGAGCTACTGAGCGATCGGTTGCTATAAGTGGGAAGTAGATGACAAAGTCTGGACATTCCATGTTTACAAAATTTCAATTGGGTTTCCTTTGAGCTTTACTCAATTAGCAAAGAGGGGCATAGTTCACTACTTCATGTCCTAATATTCCAAGCTTTAAATGCCAAGTTTGATTGCAGTTTCATTTTGTACATTCAACCATTGACATTCTTGCATCATTTGAAAACTTCAGTTTTGATTTTGCAAAGCATTTAACCTTCGCTATTTTAAAAGCGGGAAGTAAATATTGAAGTAATACAATACTTATCTAATAATTATTGCACAAAGAGAACAAAATCAAGGCGTATGGTCACTTGAATGGAGAACCGAAATATGCTCTATTTCAAGGACAAATAATATTGTCCTTTTCCTAAATACAATTTAATGGCAACGAATAGAATAGTTTCCCGTTTGAACCATCTTGCAAACTTCTTTTGGGGATAAATTGTGACATCTCTTTTTCATAAACTCATTTGGACCTAACCCAAATTGGATTGTTTTATACTAAAATCCATTTTCTCGAGTTTAATTTCCCCTGAATCGAATAATATCCTTTTCTAAATTTGTAAATGCAATTTGCTGGTTGTGCGTCGACGACTTTGTAGAATTGTACTTTGACCAACGCGCCCTCAACGCACAGAAACTAATAACCTTTCCACAAAACCCTTGGGATTATCACTCATGCAGAGTATTTATGCTATCCCTCTTAATACAGATACTACGGTAATAACTTTTTACTATATACAAATTATCCACGATGTCCGTCTTCCTTCCATTCTCTGAAGTTGCGTTTCCCACAACACTCCCATTCTGACAATCTTTTGCGCGTTGGTTACCAAGCTCTTGCTACTCTCTTCGATTTATTAAATTTCTTCCAAAGATGGGTTTATGAATGCCAAGTAGGCGAAGAAAATTGCTATGGTTGAAAGAATAGTTGTGAAGCACATGCTCAAGATTATTTATAATAAACAATGAGTAACAGCGGACGAATTTGACCAATGACACTGAGACCAACGTAATTAAACTTCAGTTTAAGTATGAGCAAAAAGAAAGCAAGTCTTTCTGTGCCTTATACTGTTGCTATGAACATAACATGAATTGCACATGACCATACCGTTTCACACGTGTTCAATTGCTGAGTTAGGATTTATATTAGTAATTTACGTATCTATAACCAAAACGTGTTTCTAACTTATTCGTGAATTTTGATCCCAGGTACTGTTCACGAATTTTGCATCGCGAGACCTCGATTCATGGCATAATTCATTTACTAAATCATAATTAATCATAATTTAAAATCAAAAACTTCTTATTCATCTATTAAAAAATATTGAACTAATTACAATTTCTCATGCGTTTTATTAGTTCTAAAGTTAAAATCCATACAGATTTATAATTATAAACAGATTTTTTCAATTTTTCTCTCTACACTTCTTCCAACGTTCGTCACGATTATTGGCTCTTATAAAAACCAACCCTCCATTTGACTCGGCATTTAACGAACCCAAGTGCTATTGATTTTTATTGGTGTATTTCAGATTGAAAGTAATTACCTTTTAAAAACTTTCTACTTATTTATATTTCAGTAGAAGAATACATAGTGAAAATCTAACTATTAGCATCACGCGAGTTCATCGACGTTCTCTATCTGTACAAAGTAGTAACAATATTGTTGGTCTTCCAGATTATTCCTCAAAATCTGCATCCCCTCGCACTGCTCCTTCAGTAAATAATCAACGCAAACACAAAATGAATGACCGAATTTCCCGTAAAACGAACAATCCTCAACAGCTTTCAGGACCTGTCCGAATTATCGATCGTCGAAACCGGTTAAAGCAAGTGGAACGTGAACCAAGATCGTCGAGTGTTCCTATCTGTAAAGAAAGAGCTTCACCAAGTCGTAGAAACAGGGTGAAAGTGAGTATCGACGATTCCCGAAGGACCAATCGTACCAATGTAGTGTCTTGGAATGTTGCTGAGGAAGACTCAGTGAGCTCGGGAAAAAATTCTTTCGCTCATGCTAGACGAAACATCCAAACCATAAGGGATCGTTTCTTCCCACCCTCGAGTCAGAATGCTCTCAACGGAAAACCGCCACCCTACAACTCGACCAACCATATCGATTTCTCCCAAGATAGATGGCAAGTTGCATCTTTAGAGTTATTAGTATTCCTGTTTGAAAGATTAAGTGAATTTGCCACCATTTTACGACAGGCAGAAATGATTTTTTGACATAGAGTCACCATGCTCAATTAATAACCCGTGGGGAGGGGGAAAATGTGTGGGAAAGACATACACGTGCTCAACATCTGCCTTTGAGTCCAGTTGCTAGGTTGAGCAGACAACCCCTCATCTTTCTATTGGTTTGTGCGATTGGCTGGTACAGTTGTACATGTGTTCTACGCACCCGTATACCGTTCCCTTGTTCAATCCTGGAGTTATAGTCATCTTTTCCCCCCACTTAGTTCTCCCAACTTTGAAGGGGAACCCACGCGACAAGCGGGCTCTGTGTTGGCACAGTGGGGCACGGTTTGCAGTCACGAAAACGGTGACTCCGAATCTGTACTTTTTACCATGGGAGAAATAATCAGGCTTCCAAAACTATGCCCATAAAATTTCGTTCTTTTATGGGTTTTAACTAGCATATCAATCATAACTTGCACTTTCTACTGTCGAAAATAAAAAGCTAGATTCTTCCCTAGCTTCAGATAGCAGAAAACTGCAGTTAAGTACGGCTTGGAAGGTGGAATTATTCAAGCAAATGAAGGTAGTCATCATTAGAGGAAGAAAAGAAAGAGATCATCAGCCCTCTTGGCAAACTAATTTACATTTTTAATTGATAAAATTGGAGTCCGTAAAGTTTCTTTGTAAGTGTATTAGCCAATTAGGTGTCATAACGGTTAAATTCGCTACCTAACCAATTATTGATTAATAGTAGTAGTTGTGTAGTTTAAAAATGGTCGGATCGCATTCTTCATTTAAATCAGGTAAATGGATTTCCAAGTTATCTGCCATGTTCAGAACTCCTTCGCCAATAGATTCATTGTTCTAAATGGTAGTGTTACAAGTATTTACTTATTACCATATATTTGAATCAGTTTAAAACACTGATTTCGCACCTTTGAGGCTAGCAAAAGTCATTAGAAATTGACGTTGGTTAGAAAATTTCAAGGTGCTATGGAAAAGTTAATAAATATGCCAAGCTCTCCTAGCATTATAACTGTCAGTTTGCCTAGGAATACGTTCCGCAACATTCTATCTTTTCATTACATACATTGGTGTCAATAAGATATTTATTATCTCCATTCAACTGACAGTATTCTGTTTAAACATCAATGCCTTTGACTAAGATTTATTACTTATTTCAAATGGCAGGCTTTATGACAATTATCACTAACCCCTTAATTGACTTCGGGCCTCACAGAGGGGAGGAACATCAAAGGTGCAAAAAGTCGAGAGGAACGACGTATATTCACACAACAAAAGTCTATAAACCAGCAGTTGACTTTTGACTTCAAGCTATCATGTCATATTTAACAACTTCCACAGTACTTGCCTTACTTTTTTCTCTACCTGTGTATCTGTCTGTCTCTTTTGCACCTGTGAATCACTCTTCTGTTCCCCTCTTTTGACTATGAGCGAATAGTCTATTTACTATGGAAATATAACAGCTTCCCTTGATCCCCTCCCACTGGGTAGTTGTTCCGTAGAGTTTATTCGATTAAATCGGTTTTTCGTTTAACTTCTTAGAGATAAGCGCAAGAATATTTATTATTAGCAGGAAGAATGAAGATTAACGCCCTCCTAATCAAATTTGGCAGCCAGTTCTTGTAGACTTGACTATTAGATGAATGAACAAAGTTGAAATTCGAATTTGTACATTAGCATTACCTAACATTATCTTTAAGCCATTTGGAACTGTGACTCCTAGATATACATTGCAGTTCACAACAGCCTTTCGCCAATATGTGACTGTGCTTCAGTATAGCATCTTCGTCATTGTTGAACTCCAAGCAGTTGAGTTTAGAGCTTCAGAGTGTACCGATAACTCGTCATGTTCCTGAATTTTTCATCTTCACATCGCCCCGGATATTTTTTGAGCTCACTTTTGCCACTATACTGAACATTTATCTCTAGGCAATCCTTCG